GTGAACGCGAATGACACTTCATCATCTGATAGTAAGGTGTGTAGTGTTCGTTTGTTGATTTGTTCATTCATACGGGGGAATGAAGTTGAAATGTATAATATGAACTCAGGTTTCATCATTTGTTTTGATTCGTTTATTTTGTTGGAAGAAAGTTATTCGTTAGAGTGTTGAGGACTGTTGAAATTTTTCAAAAATTCATCAATTCATTCATCCAAAAGTGCGGAAACAGTTGATATTGTTAGCATTGATATCATTGGTAAGGTGAGAGCATAAGATTTTGGTGGCACTTAGGAATCACTCTGGAACCTCATATGCGAATAAATTCAGTTTAGTCATTCTGACGGAATGATTATCAATTGTGTATCCGTTTTTCTGTTTTGGTTTTTGGTTTGGCTAGTTGCAAGTGGTTAGTAGTGTAGTGACACAGGCTGAGGATAATATCTGTTGGCGATGATTTGAAAGAATTCAGGAGGATATGCAAGAGGATGAATTCGTCGGCGAACTGGCTGTAATGAAGTTGGTGAGAGAGGCGCAGATGGATTGCAAGGATGCTGAATCAAAGCTGCAAGATTTATTGAATGCGGACGACGAACTGGTCAAAGAAGTTTTTACAAAACAACAACTGAACTTCACGATTTTCAGTGAAGCAGATGTCAATGGTAAATGAATATTTGTTGTTTTTGTTTATTTATTGAAATTTTCAGTATTTTTCATGGAGATTCTAAGAAATATTTAGTGAAATCGATTCGACATGTCAAGGATTGTAAAGCACCCGTATTGAGTGAGAATGAACGTTTCGAGTGGTTTGAATGAGTGCGTGCAATGAAAGTTCGTCTATGTGAACTGCATTCAACCGAATAGTTTTCAGCTGAACAGTGCTGATTTCGAGTAAAACTGTGAGCAGAGCACATACTTTGGTTTCAATTTTGTTTGGTCTTAAATTTCAGATCTATTATTGTAAAATAATGAATGTTTAGAGTGAAGTATTGATGAGTAGTTGAAATGGGTGAATAATCATTTATGCAGGTGACATTCAGTGTATGCTGAAAGTGTTGG